TGGGATTCAAACCAGTCAGCCATGTGGGAGTCTAGCGCCTTAACCACCACGCCACCTGTTGGCCCCTGGAGATTTATTGTCCCCCTCATGTTATGCCAGAAGATAGAACTTCATCTCTCAAGTTTTCTGTTTTAAAATAGAGACCTTATTATGGTTTCCCCTTTATAGGAGCTTTCAGTGGTGCTCAGTGGAGACTCTCTAGCCTAGAGTTTTAAAAAGCCATCATAATTTAATTTCACACCTGACTTCTTCAGTTTACCTCCTGTTGTTACCACATCATTCATGTTCTACATTTGCTTTCCTGTTTCTGTGCTTTTTTTTTTTTTTTTTTTTGAGAGATTTTTGCTATAGGGCATGTGCGCTCGCCAGACAGAGACAGACAGAAAGTGAGAAATCACCCCCCAGGGGGGATGGTCACGCCGCAATCCCTTCTCCTCCATTCTCCTCTCGGGATCTTGGGCATGCATGCACACATGCCCGGCATGAGTTTTAAGCCACTGGGTCTGGGACGCGAACCGCGGTCGACTATGTGGGAGTCCAGTGACATAGCCATTATGCTAACTGCTGGTTCCCATGTTTCTGTACTTTTTGTGAAAGATGTTCTTTCTGTCCAGAATTTTCTCCTTCATGTCATTTTTCTAAGATGCGTTAAGGTTCAACTCAAGGTACGTTAAGGTCTTCTACAAATCCCTTGTGGTCTCTCCATACTCCTTAATGTAGAATTACTACACTGGCTTCCTTACAGTTCCATAGCATTTTCTATATTTATGCATTTTTCAGTCTCCCTGTGGTTTTTTTTTTTTTTTTGGTTATGAACTTCATGAGGGTAAGGACATATTCTGTTAGCTGTATCAGCAATATCATCTAGCTCAATTCTATACACACATTTGGCTCTTAGTAAATATTTGAGTTGAATTAATGGTAGGATTCCCCCAATATAGGACTTAATTAAAAAAAATTTTTTTAGAGAGGTTTTTTTTTTTTTTGCTATAGGGTATGTGCGCTTACCAGAAAGACAGAGACAGAGAGAAAGAAAGCAAGAAATCACTCCCCAGGAGGATGGCCATGCCGCAATCCCTTCTCCTCCATTCTCTCAGGATCTTGGGCATGCACACACACATGCCCGGCATTAGTTTAAGCTGCCGGGTCCAGGACTTGAACCGCGGTTGACTACATGGGAGCCCAGCGACAAAGCCATTACGCCAACTGCTGGTCCCAATATAGGGCTTAATTTTGTCTCCACATTTAAGTTTCTTGAATACATGCTGCAGAGTGCCACTTTTTATCTCCTCTTTGGCAGTTGATATGTTTATATGAAAAAGAATTAAATCCAGGTGGCTTAAATTTGAATGAAGATTCTTGGGTAGCAGTTTGCCATACAATTGTGATACTACAGATAAGTTTGATATAGTAGTCAAATAAAGTTAGGGAACAACTTTGCAAAAAATTCAAATTGTTTTGCTGATAATAAAATCATAACTAGAAGATGTTTTGGTTTCTTACTCAACTCAAGACACTTTTTAAATTGTTTTTCCTTATTATCCATACAACTTTTTTTTAAAAAAAATTTTATTTAACTTTATTATTATTTTTTTAAATTTGACCGGAGAGGGACAGAGAGAGAGAAAGAAAGTGAGAAAGCAAGCCACCAGGACGGGGCCTCAAATACCGGTCCGCCATGTGGGAGTCCAGCACCCTTAACTACCACACCACCTGCCAGCCCCTATCCATACAACTTTCTAACTTTGTAACCTACATAAATCCTCAGATTTATGTAGAATTTTTTTTTTAAAAGAGTTATTTTTATTTAACTTTATTTATTTATTTTAATTTGACCAGAGAGGGACAGAGCAAGAGAGAGAGAGGGAAAGTGAAAAAGCAAGCTGTCAGGTCCAGTACTCAAACTGTGTTCAGCCATGTGGGAGTCCAGGACCCTTAACCAACCACGCCACCTGCCAGCCCCAGATTTATGTCAAATCTTAAAGGGAAGCTTACTATCCAAATGGAGGCTGAATATAAAATAGTCCTGCCTATGCAATCTTGAACACATAATGAGCACCTTAGCATGGTGCTAAATTCTCTGGGGAGTATAAAGCAGCTGCTCAAGCTGCTTCTAATCTGAGTGTGAAGAGGATAAACATAGAAACAATTCTAACAAAGAGATATAACTGATTCTTGTGTAAGCAGTGTTGTGAAAATTTGAGGCTCAAAGTTAATTCTGCTTGGGAGGGAGCTCACGGAAAGCTTCATTGAAAAGATGACCCTTAGAATGATCTTTTTTTTTTTTTTTGAGAGTTTTTTTTGCTATAGGGCGCGTGTGCTCGCCAGACAGAGACATAGAGACAGAAAGCAAGAAATCACTCCTCAGAGGGGATGGACACGCTGCAATCACTTCTCCATTCTCCTCTCGGGATCTTGGGCATGAACGCACACGCACCCGGCGTGAGTTTTAAGCCACCGGGTCCGGGATGCGAACCATGGTCGGCTATGTGGGAGTCCAGCGACATAACCATTACGCTAACTGCTGGTTCCCACCCTTAGAATGATCTTTGAAAAGAGAATCATTGGGGCTGGAAGGTGGCATGGTGGTTAAGGGCGCTGGACTCCCACAAGGCCGACCGAGGTTTGAATCCCAGACCTGGCGACTTGCTTTCTCACTTTCCCTCTCTCTCTTGCTCTCTCGTTCTCTCTCACTCTCTTCTTCTTCAAATTAAAATAAATAAAAGAATAAATGAATGAATGAATAAATGAATAAATAAAGTTAAATAAAATAATTCTTAAAAAGGAAAGGGAATCATCTTTGAAAAAGCAGAAGAAAGGTCTAAGAAAAAGTTCTAGGCTATGAACATGTATGAGTTTTTTGGGAATGGTGATATGACTGAAATTTGTGCTCCTGGACGTGAGTCCGGACAGGCAGATTGGAGACAATGTGGCACAAATATTTTAGACTTTTATCTGGTTTTGAATCCCTTCTCTTTCTTTTTATTAGTAGAGTTTATACTTTTGAGAATTTCTTTGACTCTCAGTTTTCTCACCTACTAAAATGGGAATATCAACTTTGGTTTTTGAAAGAATTTAATAATTGTGTTAAGTACCTGTCTCAGTATTGGGCATGTGGTGAGTGGTGACAGATTGTAGGCTCTGTTCATTTTCCCCAGATTGCAGGGCCAGCAGGTAGCATGGTGGTTAAGGTCACTGGACTCCCACATGGCCAACCATGGTTTGAGTCCTAGACCTGGAGGCTTGCTTTCCTGCTTTCCCTCTCTCCCTCTCTTTCTCTCTGGAAATAATAAAATGATAATAAATAAAGTTGAATTATTTTATTTAACTTTGTTTATTTAATTTGACCAGAGAGGGACAGAGTGAGAGAAAAGGAAAGTGAGACAGCAAGCCGCCAGATCTGGGACTCAAACCACAGTCAGCTATGTGGGCGTCCAGTGCCCTTACCCACTGTGCCACTTGCCGGCCCCAATAAAATAATTCTTTTTTTTTTTTTTTTTTTTTTTGGAGAGATTTTCACTGTAGGGCGCGAGCGCTCGCCAGACAGACAGAGAGAGACATAGAGACAGAAAGCGAGAAATCACCCCCCAGGGGGGATGGTCATGCCGCAATCCCTTCTCCTCCATTCTCCTCTCGGGATCTTGGGCACGCACGCACACGCGCCCGGCGTGAGTTTTAAGCCACCGGGTCCGGGACACGAACTGCGGTCGACTACGTGGGAGTCCAGCAACATAGCCATTACGCTAACTGCTGGTTCCTCAATAAAATAATTCTTTAAAACAATTTTTTTGCCTAGAATACTGAGGGCCCTGCATGCCATATGAAGGAGTAAATTCTATCCTAATGGTTTTTTTTTTAGAATTATTTAATTTAATTAAATTAATTAATTTATTTATTTGACCAGAGCGAGACAGTGAAATCACCCCATGGAGGGATGACCACACTGCAGACCCTTTTCCTCTGTTCTCCTTTTGGGATTTTGGGCATGCACTCACAAGTACCTGATGTGAGTTTCAAGCTATCAAATCCAGGACTCGAACTGTAGTTGACTATGTGGTGACCCATGCCATCTGCTAGCCCAGGAAAATATTATTTTAGGTCACTTTTGTATTATTGAAATGAAATTGTCTTTCTGAGCTGAGTAACATATTGTGGATTATTTTAAGAGGATTGTGCTTCGTTCCTGAGGATGAAAATGTAGAACTTTTTTGGTAGCAACTAAGAAAGATCTATTTTTTTTTTAAGTGAAAATGCAGTATTTGTTGTGGAAAAATAAACAAACAAAAAAAACCCACATGAAATTTATAGCCTTAACTGTTTTTCAGTGTATAGTAGTGCAACAGATCTCTAGAACTTTTTCATCTGGCAAAACTGAAACTCTGTACCCATTTAACTCTCTACTCCTTTTTGCCCCCAATTCCAGCTCCTGGTGACCACCTTTCTACTTTGTGTTTCTAAAGTCTAACTACTTCAGATACTTCATATAAGTGGAATCATGCAGTATTTGCCTTTTTGTGGTTGGTTTACTTAGCATAAATTCCTCCATGTTGTATCTTATGACAAGATTACCATTTTCATAAAACTGAATAATCTGTTGTATGCATATGCCACATTTTTATTTATCCATTCATTCATTGATGGACATTTGGGTTGTGTCCACCTCTTGATTATTGTGAATAATGCTGCAGTGAGCATGTTGTACAAATATCTCTTTTTGAGATTTTGTTTTTCAATTATTTGGGATATATGTCCCCAAAAGTAGGATTGCTGAGTCATATGATAGCTCTATTTTTGGTCTTTTGAGGAATGGCCATACTGCTTTCCATAGCAGCTGCACCATTTTACATTCCTATCAACATTTCTTCCTTTCTTTCCCTGTTTTCTTCTTTTCCTCACTTAAAACTTGAAGATCACAGGCCCAGTCACTTTTCTGTTAATTGCTGTGTAGTTAGTAGAATGATAATTCACTTTCAACACTTTCTGGTTTGTTCCTTGGTTAGCAGGAAGAAGATGAGCCTTAAGTCCGAACGTCGAGGAATTCATGTGGATCAATCTGAGCTCCTATGCAAGAAAGGCTGCGGTTACTATGGCAACCCCGCTTGGCAGGGTTTCTGCTCCAAGTGCTGGAGAGAAGAGTACCAGAAAGCCAGGCAGAAGCAGATTCAAGAGGATTGGGAACTGGCAGAGCGGTAAAGGGACTTAAATAGGGGTGGTTTATGCATAGGTCTGTCATTTTTCAAATACATTTTTCTCTTCCATTTGAGCAGTCCCCTTAATAGAGAAAAGATTTTTTTTCTTCTCAGTCAACATTTAATAAATAGCTTTGAGTGATTTTTTTTCATTTTGTGTTTGCCTTCTGATTATTTTGTGTTTGGGGTGTGTTAGTCTTCATTCTCTAATTCAGACAATAAGTTCTCTGAAGTAGAAGAATGGAGGTAAGCATACTTTATGCCGAAGATTAAATGAGGTTCTATATATGATGTACCTAGCACAGGACTTGGCACATAGATCTCATCAAGCTTCATTTCCCTCATTCTTTTATTATTTCCAGCGTGGCATTTAGCACAGTGATGAACACATAGCAGCAGAAACTGTTGCTTTGTATACATAGTCCTTGCACTATGGAATTTTAACTTTTCCTTTAAAATGTGGTTTCTTAGTCAAAGGTAGTTTGTATTATTCAGAAATATGATTATGATAAAAATTTAAAAATGGAATGACTGGTGAGCATAGGGATTAATAAAATGCCATAATAACGTTAATCTTTTGTCAAAGCATCCTGGAAACTTTCAAACTGTCTCAAAAGAAAAATAAACCAAATCATGATAACTTTTGCTAAGTTTTGGTATTCGAACAATTAATACTTGCTAAGTAATTGCTTTGCAAGCATCTGTGGTGAACTCAGAATTATAAAGCACACTCACTGCTTTCAATAAGTCTGGTCAGTCACAGAAAATACACACACAGAGCATTAATGACTTCCTCAGGCTTCTTGCTGCACTTCCTACTGATACTCTCAGTAACTAATGCTATTTCACAAAGAAAATAGAAGCTACTGTGCATGAATCTCCTCAGCTTTATGACCTCTTCAAACAAAACATACTAATGCCTTTATGTTAACTTAATTTCTGTCTCAAAGAAAGATGTGTCTCTATTCTGTCGTAAGACTTAACATCTCCATCTGTGATTTTTGTTGCTGTTTTTTACTGTTTCCTATTGAGACCTTGCTTGAGATTTCCTACAGCTGTTATTTCTCACATTGAACAGGCATCAGAATGATCTGGAAAACTTAGAGAATCAGTTGCTGGACCTTACTCTCAGAGTCTCTGATTTTTGTACCATGAGATGAGACCAGAGTGTTTGCATTTCTAACAAGTTTCCAGGTGATGCAAATGTTGTTATCTGGGGAATCACACTTTGAGAACCGTTATTCTATAGATAGTGCTTGAGATTTATTATAGTACTTCACATGCAGCTGATCCAAAGCCGAATTTATTGCTTTTATTTACTCTTCTCCCCATTGCCAATATTTTCCTCCTAGCTGTTCTCCTATATCAATTAATGGCATTGCTATTTATCTCATTAGATTAAAAAAAAACTTTGGAGTCATTGTTAGTTTCTTCTTCACATCTCTTATTACCTAAAACTACTTGAGCAGGTTCTACTTTTTGTAGCTCAGAAAAGGTTTTGAATGTTACCTTTATTCCCATTTTCCAGGTCCTTATTTTATTTCACTTAAAACTTTGTAATACACTTTTTTTTTTTTGAGAGGTTTTTGCTATAGGGCACGTGCACTTGAAAGACAGAGAGAGACAGAGAGACAGAAAGCGAAAAATCACCCCCCAGGGTGGATGGCCACGCCGCAATCCCTTCTCCTCCATTCTCCTCTTGGGATCTTGGGCACACACGCACATGTGCCCAGCGTGAGTTTAAGCCACTGGGTCCGAGACTCGAACCATGGTCGACTACATGGGAGTCCCGCGACATAGCCATTACGCTAACTGCTATTCCCCAATACACTCTTAATTACTGTCCTCGTCTCTAGTCTCTCTACCTCTCAAGCTGTTCACATGGTTACCTAAATTATCTTTCTAAAGTACATATCTTTAATGATAACTTTTTGGATTTACAATGTTTCTTGGTTCCCTGCCACCTGATGAAATCCAGAATAATAGCAAGCTTAGCAGTCAAGGCTCCTGACCATCTAGTGTTTCTTGTATATCCAGTGTCATAATTCATCTCACCATCTCAGTGTTCTGACTACTGGACTTGGCCTAAAACAAACCACATGTTTTCACGTTTTTAATTTTCTCTCTTTGGAATGTCCTTTTACTTAGTGGAATCATAGTCATCCTTTAAGATCAGGCCCAAATATCACCATGTAAAACCTCAGATTCTGTAGCAGATTTAGTTGTTCTTTTCTGTGTTCTCATAGCATATTACTTTTACTCTGTACTATAGGAACCATCCCATTATATGGTAATTACTTACTTATCTCTTTCTCTGTTCCAAACTTGAGCTTATCAGGGAAAAGAACTGAACTTTATTTCTTTCATTATAAAACAAGCGTGATTACTGAATGAACATGATCTATGGAGAATGTCTCTCTCTGGAACTGTGTAGGATTTTCACACACTAGCTGTCCACCAGAGACCTTAGAACTATAATGACTGGTAGGTGGTATGAAAGTTAAGGCACTAAACTCCCACATGGCCAACCAAGGTTCTTGTCCTGGACCTGGCAGCTTGCTTTCTCACTTTCTCTCTCTGTGTGTCTCTCTCTGGTCAAATTGAAAAATGAAAATAACAAAATTTTTAAAAAGAAGAACTATTTAGTAAATTTAACCTCTCATTCTATAATTTTTATATCCTCCCCAGTTAATAATCTTTAGATACAGGACCAGCAGTTAGCGTAATGGCTATGTCACTGGGCTCCCACGTAGTCGACCACGGTTCGAGTCCCGGACCCGGTGGCTTAAACTCACGCCAGGTGCTTATGCATACGTGCCCAAGATCCCGAGAGGAGACTGGAGGAGAAGGGATTGCAGTGTGGCCATCCCCCCGGGGGGTGATTTCTCACTTCCTGTCTCTCTGTCTCTCTCTGTCTGGCGAGTGCATGCGCCCTATAGCAAAAAATCCTCCCCATCCTTAAATAATAATCTTTAGATACAAGAAAAACTTGGAGAACGTCGAGATTATTATTTTTTTGGAGAGGTTTTTGTTATAGGGCGCATGCACTCAACGACAGAGCGAGACAGAGATACAGAAAGCGAGAAATCACCCCCCAGGGGGGATGGCCACACCGCAATCCCTTCTCCTCCATTCTCCTCTAGGGATCTTGGGCACATACGCACATGTGCCTGGCATAAGTTTAAGCCACTGGTTCCGGGACTCGAACAGCAGTCAGCTACATGGGAGTCCAGCAACATAGCCATTACACTAACTGCTGGTCCCTTCCATGAACTTTTTGAAGAACCCTTCATACATACATATATATTAATATAACTGATGAATAGTAAAACCATTTGATTATTTACTTATTCAGAAAATATTTAGATTTTCAGTAACTATTATCTATAGTTAGTTAAAGGAAATTAAAACTATAGATGAGTTCACTGTATTTTATAGACAGGATTTAAAAATACCAATGTATGATACTCAACTTTTTCATGCGGTCGACTACGTGGGAGTCCAGAAACATAGCCATTACGCTAACTGCTGGTCCCCCCATAGTATTCTTTTAAAGAATTATTTTTTTATTTAACTTTATTTATTATTATTATTATTTTCCAGTTTGATCAGAGAGAGACTGGGAGAGAGCGAGAGGGAAAGTGATAAAGCAAGCCACTAGATCCAGAACTCAAACTGCGGTTGGCCACATAGGAATCTAGTGCCTTTAACTACCACATCACCTGCCAACCCAGAGAATGTTGAGATTATTCTTAATCCTCTCTTGAATTACAGACTTCAGCGGGAAGAGGAAGAGGCCTTTGCCAGCAGTCAAAGCAGCCAAGGGGCCCAATCTCTTACATTTTCCAAGTTCGAAGAAAAGAAAACCAATGAGAAGACCCGCAAGGTTACCACTGTGAAGAAATTCTTCAGTGCTTCTTCCCGAGTTGGATCAAAAAAGGGTAATTTTTTAAATTATTTTTTTCTTCTGTGTTTGAATGAGGTGCAGAGTAGCAGCTTCTCCATCAGAGAAGCTGTGTCCACCCAATCCTTGCTTTTCTATACTTGTGTGTCTTTCTGTGCTTGTTATTACGTCTATTTCTAATCCATAGCCTTCCCCACTCAGAAAAACGTGTTCATGCCAAGCTGGTCCCGGCACATGTTGCATGTAGACCCAATTTTCTAATTTCTGTGAGCTTTTAGAGAATACCAAGCCAGATTTGTGATTGAAATTTTGAGAGTCATTATATGTGAAGCAAACTCTTTTTTGGTTTGAGGACATTGTGTTTTAGAGCTTGTTAACTTTATTATAGGAAGAATAAAGAGAATTGAAATAGAATTTTATTGATAAAATTCATTCCCATCTAAATCGCTTTCTGGATTTTTCTTTTCTTTTTTCTTTTGGATACTGGTTTGTTCTATTCATATTATCCTCATTTTTCATAGTTTATCAGAAATGCTGTCTCCAAGCTTGAAAGGCAGTTGAGAGAGGTTTTCTCTCTGAACTTATTTGAGAAACAGCTTGCGACTTGGGGAAATATAGAGAGAACACATAGGAAAACACTCACTTTGGACTTTTGGGGGATGAAAATAACCCATAGTAGGTATTTTCTAGTGCATGGATTTTTATGCAGAAAACCTTGTTCTACTTTTTTTTTTTTTTTTTTTTTTTTTTTTTTTTAGTTTGCTATAGGGGGTTATACTTGCCAGAAAAAGAGAGAGGGAAAGTGAAAAATCACCCCCAAGGGGTAGATGAGCACACTGCAAATTCATTCTTCTTTGAGATTTTGGGCATGCCCAGTGTATTCTCAAGCCTGTGGGTCTGAGACTTGAACTGCACAATTTACTATATGTGATTCAGCTACCTTAACTGTTATGCCACCGGCTAGCCCCATCTTAATTCCTAAGATACCATATATAACCAGCAAGAGGATCATCACAAAAGTCAAAATTGTTCCTGCAATGAACATGTGAACTATTGGGTCATTGGAAAAATCATGATGTGTTTTTCTATGTAAAATGCGTCATGACTTTTCCAGCGACCCAGTAATTGAAGTAGCCTAGCATGAAATAAGGAAGAATGTTGTTAGGGCTCAGTCTTTATGGTGGGACTCAGAATTATGCAGTGAATTTGAAATGGTGAGAGAAACTGGAATCCAACACTGATAACATCAGAAGAGCTATTGTCTAGGAGGCCCTCTCTTGCCTTCCAGTCCTTACCCTAATCATGATAAGGCTTTAGTCTACCTAAAGGCAGAAGAAGAAGAATAATATCATCCTTTATATCCTTGCTGGTCTTTTAGATTTAGTGACTTTTGCTCTTTGTTTCATTGAAAGGCTTGAAACTCATTTGAGAGAGGAGAGGGATTTTTAGTGACCATTGTTTTATTGAAAGGTATACCAAAATCAGCACTTCTCTTAATAAATTAACACCTGTAGGACCAGCTTTATAACACAGCAATTAAGAGTTGTACAGTGGGAGCTGGATCCTTTATGGCTGACTGTGGTTTGAATCCTAGTCCATCAGTTTTAAAAACACATACCAGACACATGTGTGCATGCACAAAATCGTGGTGATATGGAGAAATGGAGGAAAAAGGGATTGTGGCATACGAGAGCCTCTTATGGGAGGTATCCTCCCTTCTCTCTCTCTCTCTCTCTCTCTCTCTCACACACATACATTTATCCCCTGGCAAAAAGAAAGAGAGAGAGAGAAATACACACCTTTAAATAATTTTGTTCACACTATTAATTTGAAGTTGTTTCTTGGTTGGCTGACAATTTTGTCTCTATTAAGAAGAGGTTCAAGTACTTGCCAGAGATTAAATAAGAAAGTACCTGGCTCGTGATTTTATTTATTTAGTAATTATTTTATTTAACTTTATTTATTTATTTTAATTTGACCAGAGAGGGTCAGAGTGAGAGAGAGAAAGTGAGAAAGCTAGCCACAAGGTCCAGGGCTCGAACCATGGTCGGCGCCCTTAACCACCTTGCCTGTGTGTGTGTGTGTAAAATGAGATTTCATTAAAAAAAAAAACAAAAAACTTTACAAGGGACCAGCAATTAGCGTAATGGCTATGTCGTTGGACTCCCACGTAGTCGACCGTGGTTCGCATCCTGGACGCGGGGGTTTAAAACTCACACCAGGTGCGTGTGCGTGCATGCCCAAGATCCTAAGAGGAGAATGGAGGAGAAGGGATTGCGGCGTGGCCATCCCCCCTGGGGGGTGATTTCTCGCTTTCTGTCTCTCTCTGTCTGTCTGGCAAGCACACGCCGTATAGCAAAAACCTCTCAAAAAAAAAAAAAAACTTTACATACATAATAGATAAGCACATTCTCTCATGTTCCTTGGTGGCTTTAAGAAATCATGTCCTAAAAGCCCTTGTACAATGTGGATTATGTTATGAAGGTTTCACAATCTAGTGCTGAGCTCATACTTTAAAAAGAAACAGTTCCAAGTGATTTTTACTGTAAAAACTTGTATGCAATATAGTTTCTGCTTTTTCTTATTCTTCTTTAATTTTGCCAGAGAGTACATGTGCTTACCAGAGAAAGAGCAAGTGTGAGAAAGTACCCCGTCATGGAGCATTGTCACACTGTAATCCCTTTTCCTCCACTCTTACCCCTTCGGGATTTTGGGCATGCATGTACACACACCTGGTGAATTTCTCAAGCTGCAAGGTCTAGGACTCGAATCATGCCATGCGAGGTCCAGCCACTTTAACCACCATGCCATGGGTTGGCCTTATATTTTTTCTTTTTCTTTTTTTTAAAAAAATATTTCTTGTGTTTTTTGTTTTTCCTCTTAATTTTTTTCTTTTTGGAGATGTTTTTGTAATAGGGCATGTGCAACTCACCAGAGAGACAGAGAGGCAGAAACCGAGAAATCATCCCCCAGGGGATGGCCAAGCCACAGTCCTGTTTCCTCCATTCTCCTCTCGGGATCTTGGGCACGCATGTGCACACACCTGGAGTGAGTTTAAGCCACCGGGTCTGGGACTCGAACCACATTCAACTACGTGGAAGTCCAGCGACATAACAATGACACTAACTACAGGTCCCCCTCTTAACTTTCTGAATGTTAGATTTGTACTTTAGATATTTTTCTCTTTATCTTTATCTGTAGAAAGTGTCTATTGGTAAAGACCTAAAAGTATTTAACAAATTCATGTGAGAAAAGAGGATCCCATGGATCTTTGTGTTACAGATTACTTGTGTAATGGCCAAATGAATTGTGTATTACAACTCTTTCTTTTGCCGTTGTATATGGATAAGATTAGAGTATATACAGGGACCCGCAGAGAGTGTAATGGTTACATTACTGGACTCGCACACGTAATCCACTGCGATTCAAGTCCCAGACCTGGTGGCTTAAAACTCACATTGGGCGCGTGCACATTCATGCCCAAAATCCAAACAGGAGAATGAAGGAGAAGGGATTATGGTGTGGCCAATCCCCCAGGGGTAATTTCTAAAACTCTGTTGCTCTCTGTGTTTCTCACGAGTACACATGCTGTATAACCAAAAAAAATCTCTTTTCAAAAAAAAGATTAGCCTATATACCAAGTACAGTTGTAGTTTATTGAATGTTGGACCAGCCAGTTATTATTATTTTTTGGTGGTTAAGATGACTGCATCCCACAGTTGCAACTGCATGGTTTGAATCCTGGACCTGGTGGCATCAAAAACAAAGTAGGAATGTGTGTGCACACATGCCCAAAATCCTGAAGGGAGAGATGGAGAAGGAATTGTGATGTGCTCATCTCCCATGGAAAGTGCTTCCTCACTTTCCTTCTCTGGGGATAGACCATGGCATTGAGACCCTGTCGGGGGGTACTCTCTTGCTCTTCTCTCTCAGAAGAAATAAATAAATGAACTTGGAGCTTAATATATACCGAGTGTCCGCACTCTCTGACTGAAACTAATTGACTAAAGGATATAGAAACACAGTATATAGATGTAAATACCAAATATAGTGTGTGTGAAAGAGGAAGGTCTGAGGAAGGACATTTAGAAGAAAAATAGGGGAGGCAAAGCATTAATGACACAAAGAAATGTATTATCTGTTGAAAATATTTTGTAGTTTTATCAACTGTACTAGGGAGAAATGTTCACCTGTTGAAATAAACATTTTGGTTTTCTGTTTCTTTTGGAGAGGTTTTTGCTACAGAGTGCGTGCACTCGCCAGAAAGAGAGAGACAGAGAGACAGAAGGTGAGAAATCACCCCCCAGGAGGGATGGCCACGCTGCAATCCCTTCTCCTCCATTCTCCTTGGGATCTTGGGCACACATACACTCATGCCTGGTGTGAGTTTAAGCCACCAGGTTCGAGAGTCAAACCAGTCGACTACATGGGAGTTCAGTGACATAGCCATTACGCTAACTGCTGGTCCCAAAATATCAATTTTGTAAGACAAATAATAATGTGATTGAATGTATAAAAGATGATGAAATTTAAAAAAAGGGGAAAAAATAGGAAAAAAAGAAATTACTGAGAAAGGTTAATTTTGATATATTTAAAAGATACCTATATTTTTCTTTTTAATTATCTTTCTTTTTCTGTATAAAAGAAAATTACGGGACCAGTTGGTGGCGTAGTGATTAAGGTGCTGGACTCCCACATGGCTGACCACGGTTTGAGTCCTGGATCCAGTGACTTGAAACTCACACTGGGCACATGTGTATGCATGCATGCCCAAAAACTCCTGAGAGAAGATGGAGAAAGGATTGTGGTGTGGCTGCCTCCCTGGGGTGTTTGGTTTTTCACTTTCTCTCTGTCTCTCTGGCGAGCAGACATATCCTATAGCAGAAAATTTCTCATGAGACCAGCAGAGGGTATAATGGAGAGTCTTCATGTAAACAAGTTAGCTTTTGCCATTTGGGTAGGTAAAATGGGATTTGTAGAGTTTAACATTTTATAAGTCATCTGACATTTTTGTGTTCCTTCTGATTGTTATTTTATTTGTTGATCAGTTTTATATACTCAGACAATCATTGAAAAAGTTGCCCAAGACAGTAGTGCTATTTTGGTATTAATTAAAATATGTAGACCAAAATAAATATTTTGGCTAAGAAATACTAATGAGCAACTGGTATTTGAATAGGAATATCTTTTAGATCATGTAGTGTCAACTGCTTGTCCTTCTTATGTGTCAAACAGATTTAGCTTACTTTAAGGTAAGTTGTCCAAATGTTTAAACATAAAATGGTTTAAATTCGAGTTTAGCTTTGATTAAATATAATTTAAATATCCTTGAGTTAGATACTTAAAATGATTCCATGCACGGATTGTCTGTATAATGAAACTTACTATGTTTGATTTTCCCCAGCAGAAATCCAGGAAGCGAAAGCTCCCAGTCCTTCCATAAACCGGCAAACCAGCATTGAAACAGATCGAGTGTCTAAAGAGTTCATAGAATTTCTCAAGACCTTCCACAAGACAGGCCAAGAAATCTATAAACAGACCAAGATGTTTTTGGAAGGAATGTATTACAAAAGGGTAGGTTGAGAATAACAACTCAGAAACATGGAGTTTTGGTTTCAGGAAAGGTCTTAGAGATAGTATAATGCAATCTTGTCCTTTTATACCTGAGAAAGTCAAGATCCGCAGATGTTAAATTACTTAGCTAAGAAAAGCCTCTAAACCAAGTTAAAACCTGACTCCCAGGCTAGTACTTTTCCACTGTATCTCAAGGTATTTGAATTGTCTTGGTATTGAAATTCTGATATCTAGGCCACTTGAATTTTGTACTTCAATAATGAATAAGTCTTAATAACTTGGGACCTTGTAAATTGTGTAAATGGCCATAGAGCTTTAACTCTGTGTAACAATAGCAGTGGCAATAATTTTTCTGTTGTTTCCTTTGTTTTTATATTTTGACTTTTTCTTCATTGAGTTAGAGAACGAAGGATAGAATGTAGACATTAAAAGGAACTTAGCAACATCTAGTTTCAGTCCCTTTATTTTATAGATAAGGCAGTTGAGAGCCAAAAAAGACAAGTGACTTGCCAAGGTTATATATTAGATTTTGCAAATGTCAGAACTAGAAGTTAAGATTTTCACACCTGTATCTTTAACCTATAATTTTTTAAAGAGGTTTTTGCTATAGGGCATATGTGCTTGCCAGAAAGACAGAGAGAGACAGAGAGATAGAAAGAGAGAAATCACCCCCCAGGGGGGATGGCCATGCTGCAATCCCTTCTCCTCCCTTCTCCTCTCAGAATCTTGGGCACGCACGCACACACGCCCAATGCTAGTTTAACCCACCAGGTCCGGGACTCGAACTGCAGTCAACTACATGAGAGTCCAGCGACATAGCCATTATGCTAACTGCTGGTCCCTAACCTATAATTTTTAACCCATAATTTCAGTTGTAGTACTTCATAGGACTGCTTATAAAGGAATTTATTTTGTAAATAGGGATTAATTCTGTCATACTGTGTTCTAGCCATTAAAGTAAAAATTAACTCTATGAGTCCCTTGTATGAAGTAAGGAAGTCTTAAAAGGGAAACAGAGATTAGAAAAACAGCAAGGTGTTTCACTGCTTACTTGTATTGCTGTAGTCAGACATTGCTAAACTAAAAAGCAGTGGACTTCTGTTAAAAAATTCTTAACATATCGGATTAAGTTCGAAAAGGAGAAAAGACTCTTGCTCTTTAGGAGTATAATTATACTGCATAAATAAACAGTCCTTGTTACCTTTAGGTGTTTGTGAGAAAGTTGTGATTGTCACAGGAGGGCAAGCAGGCTATCATTAATTTTTTGAGTTAGAAGCAATAATAGACTTCCTTAAAATGCAAAAATTTAGAATTATGTGACAGGTTTTTTTTAAATAATTATTTATTTAATTTATTTATTATTATTCAGTTTGACAAGAGAGAGACAGAGACAGAGAAAGCAAGCCACCACATCCAGGACTTGATTCGTAGTTGGCAGTGTGGAAGTCCAGCACCTTAACCACTATGGTACTGGCCAGTTCCAATATAGCTTCCTTTTTTTTTTTCTTTTTTTGGAGAGGTTTTTGCTACAGAGCGCGTGCACTCGCCAGGCAGACAGAGAAAGACAGAGAGATAGAAAGTGAGAAATCACCCCCCCAGAGGGGATGTCCATGCCGCAATCCCTTCTCCATTCTCCTCTCGGGATGTTGGGCATGCATGCACATGTGGCCAGCGTGAGTTTAAGCCACTGGGGCTGGGACTTGAACTATGATGTTTCAAGCCACCAGGTCCAGGACTCAAACTGTGCAGTCTGCATGTGGGGTCTAGCTCCCTCAACCTTTGTGCCACTTGCTGGCCCAATACCCACATTTTAAAAATCCTTCCCTTGCTAAATGTTAATTAATCCCTCAGATGTACTTTTTTCTGTTCTTAAAGTTTTGCCTGACTTGTTTTATAGAAGGGTTAGTCCTTTACTTCCTCAAAATACAAATGACTTATTAATCTGTTGGATGTTGTATTAAAGCTTTAAAAAAAAACTTTTAAAAAAGTTTACTTAATAAGGGGGAGAGAAGGTCCTTGACAAGGTCTTCATGCCATATTCCTCCCCCTAGCCCTGCAGCTAGCAGAATTATGGGAGTGCCCTACGTTCAGATAGACCTGAGACGTGATTCCAGACTTTTCTCATCTGGTCAAGGTGTAGCATCCCTATTGCCTGTGCTACCACCACAGCTGGGCCTGAAAAGTAACTACTAAAGGGACCAGCAGTTAGCATAATGGCTATGTTGCTGGACTCCCACATAGTTGACCGCGGTTCGAGTCCTGGACTTGGTGGCTTAAACTCACGCCAGGCGCGTGTGCATGCGTGCCCAAGATCCCGAGAGGAGAATGGAGAAGGGATTGCGGCATGGCCATCCCCCCTGGGGGGTGATTTCTCGCTTTCTGTCTCTCTGTCTCTCTCTGTTTTCCTGGCGAGCGCACGTGCCCTATAGCAAAAAAAAAAAAAAAAGTAACAAACTAATTTTCTAAATTTCTCATTTCAGTTTTTAAAACAAGCTCCCTTTATTAGATAAAGCTCATTTTTCTTACTAAGGAATCAGTTAAGCACAACATAAGATCTTTTTCTGGTTTTGTTCTTTTCCCAGTCATTTTATAAAAATCTAGCATAGAGGAACCAGCAGTTGGCATAATGGCTATGTTGCTGGACTCCCATGTAGTCAACCACGGTTCGAGTCCCGGACCAGGTGGCTTAAACTCATGCCGGGTGCTGGTGTATGTGTTCCCAAGATCCCAAGAGGAGAGTGAAGGAGAAGGATTTGCAGTGTGGCCATCCCCCCTGGGGGTTGATTTCTCACTTTGTATCTCTCTGTCTCTCTCTTTTTGGTGAGCCTACGTGTCCTATAGCAAACCTCTTTAAAAAAAAAATCTAGCATTGATTATGTTATATAGGCTTAAAGTACATTTCAGTATTATTATTCATAATAAACGTTTTTCTATATCCAAATGAGAAAAATATATTATAGTTTAAGTTTTAAAATTTTAGTTTAATTATAAATTAAGATGCATCTAGCTCTTTATTCACCTCTTTTTCTCTGAATAAATAAAAAGGTAAGTGCCCTCCTAGACCTTAAAATGACTTCATTATTCTTTATGTTTTTACAAGTAGTCGTTTGTCCTGCTATGTAACTACTATTAGGAGAACAGATATATGTGTTCAAAACAAAGAAACTTTAACTGGTAAAATAGGCTTTAGCTATGATGAGAAAATCAGAGGGGAAAAAGTTAAGTCAGGACCCAATTTTTTTAAAGAGAGATTTTTGCTATAGGGCATGAGCACTCACCAGACAGACAGAGAAACAGAAGCAATAAATCACTCTCCAGGGAGGATAGCCACATCGCAATCCCTCGTCCTCCATTCTCCTCTTGGGATCATGGGCACACATGCACACATGCCCGATGTGAGGTTTAAGTTACCAGGTCCGGGACTCGAACTGTGATCCACTATGTGGGAGTACAGTAACATAACCACTACACCATCTGCTGGTCCCAGGACCCAATTTTAAATTAAAAGCAGCAAGAATGAGAACTGAGGCAAGAACAGTGGGAAAACATCTAAGATGTTAGAAACTATGAGTCCTGTAAGTCATAAGAAACAAAAGTAGATAACAGAGTGAGTTGATAACTATGTTGAAGGTGATGAATGAATAAAAATCGTGTCTAGAAGAATACAGTGATATGTGAGAGAAAACTTAAAACCATACTTGGGAGCAGCCATGGCAGCTCAGTGTGTGAGGCTGGTGTGAAGCAGTCTCTGGGCTTTGGTGGCAGTTCTCAGGCCTGACCCTCAGTTGTGCATGGTACAAAACAAAAGAACAACAGCCAGAACTTGGAAGAGGGCACAGCTCAAATGAAACAGAAGGCAGACACTCCCTCTATAGACAAGGTACTTATGGAAGAGGTCAAATTAGAGCAGCTAAAAGAGATTGGAAAAATAAACGCAAGCTTTGGCAGATACTGAGAACTTTCAGCAATGAAGCTATTGATAAAAATTTGTAGGGGAAGCCAATTTATATGGTATTCAGGGCTTCTGCAAAGATTTATTAGCGTTTGCAGACATTTGGAGAAGGCATTCCAGTATGTTCCAAAAGAAGAAATTAAAGACAATAACCTTCTCCTCCAGGAAGTACAACTTACTCACACTGAACCCTGTCAGAACCACGTTCCACTCTTGGGAGCTTGCAGCCTGTTTGAGGGAAGAGACAGACACAGTGGTTCTAGTTAACAAGGTGGGGTACAAGCTTCCTGGGTGCCACTAAGACTTGCCCTGGTTGGGTGGTAAAGGAAGCTTAGTGGCCTTTTAAAGGATTTTGTTTTGTTATCATTGCTGGAGGGCATATGCACTCACCAGGGAGAAACAGAGAAGGAGAAAGCACCCCCTAATGGGATATGATCACACCACAGTTCATTCTTCATTTCTCCAGCCAATCAGGATTTGGGGTACATGCACATATTTCCCCATTATGTTTTTCGAGCCACAGGGCTGGGGTTCCAACCACAGCTAGCCATGTAAAATATGGTTCCTTTAACAACTTGGCTCTGGAGTGGCCCTCCGGTTTTTTTGAATCGCTTATTGTTAGGTCATAGAGTAAGTCATGATGCGTTTTTCTGTGCAAAAATGCATCATGACTTTCCTGTTGACCTAATACAACTCATGCAAGGCTGCTTCAACTATTCTCATTTATGAATGCTTTTTTTTTTAAATTTAAGTTTGTTTGTTTGTTTATTTGTAATTTGATCAGAGA